CTCTCCATTTCTAGTGAGCAAAGCAAGCTCCCCACACAACACACAACTCCACTAAATGCAGAGCTAGCTCACAGGCTAGGTAAATAGTCTTACTCAGTTGTTTCTTGAGTTGTAAGCAAAGCTCCTTCCCACAAACATCTGCATGTTGCATAACAACACAAAAGTAAATTGCCATAGACAAATCTTATTGTCGCTAAGCAAAAATTCCGTTAAAGCTGCCTATTTGGCAACCTTGGCCAATCTTTTTTGGACTGAAACAGGTATCTATGCATCTTAAGTAAATATGGAGGGGTTAATAGGTGATTGACTTCACTCAGTTTCCAATCCTTGTCATGTATGCATTGAATGCTGCCTGTTTGAAATCAACAGCTGCCTTAACAGGATCTTGCGCCTGATAGATTCCTCGGCCAACAATAATGATGTCACTTCCCCTGTTGATGATGACATCAGAAGGTGTGAGGTACTGCTGACCAAGTGAATCCTGTCCAGCATTGAGCTGGACTCCTGGGGTCATGTGAATAAACTGTGGATCATCAACTAAACAAGACAGGCTGATAAATCCTATGACAAATTTTTGGTGTGTTTTGGCCATTTCCACTGCTGCTTTTGTGTACTCTCCAGTGGCTAGGCTTCCAGCTGTACTCATCTCACCAATCAATAGACATGCCCTATCAAGAGGTGCACCAATTTCTTTGAGCCCATTTATCACACCATCTCCAGGGACCACATGTGCATTGATCAGGTCTGCCCACTCTACAATGTGATATACCCCTTTGCAGTACTGATTCTTCACAGTGTTGCCAATATCAGCAAATTTTCTATCTTCAAAAATAACAAAGTTGTGCTTTTCTGCTAACTTTTTCAGTGATTTGGGAAATTCTGGTGTGAAATCTTCTAGAATGTCTACATGTGTCTTCACAATGCACACATGTGGTCCTACTTTATCCACCAAGTTCAAGACATCTTCACAATTGGTAAAATCAACCGAGACTGCGAGGTTCGACTTCTTCTCGTGCATTATCTTAAATAACCTCTTACTGAACCGGTTAGAGGCGATTCCCGCTCTGGCTTCAAAGCTAAGCTTACTTCCTTTACTTGTGGGTGGCGTGGATTTTGCACTGGAGGGAGTGAACTTGTTCGCTGAGAGAAACTCCCGTACCTTTTCGGTCATGTTTTGGTCAATTTTGACTTTAAGGTGTAGAACATCAAGGACTTCAGGAAGGGTAACAAGGCTATGCAGCTTTACTCCTTTCGACTGGAGCATTTCCTTGCCGCCTTGAAAGCGATCTAACAGCACTATAGCATCTGTGACATGGAGGTCCGCTGAGGCAAGTGCTTCAACCGTCTCCATGACACTTGAGCCACTGGTAACCACGTCTTCGATTACTAAGCACTTGCTTCCAAGCGAGAAGACTCCTTCTATCAGCCGCTTCGTTCCATACGACTTTGCCTCCTTTCTTCTCATCACCATTGGGATGTTATGGCTGACAGAAATGCAGGAAGCGATCGGTAAAGCGGTGTAAGGAACACCGCAAATGACCGAAAAATCGGACTTCGATTCCAAAGCAACTTGCCATAGCATATCGCTTATTTGCTTCATAACTTCAGGATACGAGACTATCACACGCAAGTCAATGTAAACAGGCGACTTTATGCCACTCTTCAAGGTAAAATCGCCAAATTTTATGGCCTGGATTTCGAACAACTTTTCAACCAAGCTCCTCTTCTCTTCCAACGCCATGTTGAAGATGTTGAACAGGCCTGAATGTTGAAATGCACGTGAGGCTCAGCGGTTGACCTATGAAGAAAAAGCGCAGGCTCAAACCCACCGCCATATTGGAAAAATGTTTGGAGACTCGTTTGAACTGAACTGACAGGTTGAAGGCTGCAGTCTAATGAAAAAAGTACAAAATGCCGTTACCCCCGGCGTTACAGGCTCGACTTGCTAAAAGAGGAATAATCCAAAAAGGTAAAAAAATATTGATTGTATGATCTACAAAGAACTTCGAGTCGACAGAGTGCCGAGAGTGGAATTGAAAAGTTCACGCGTTAAAAAGCAACAGATCTCATCATCATCATTCGTTGAGCTTGCTTATTTAAGCAATGTCGTTTGTTTTTACTAACTAGCTAGACACAACATTTGATTTTTGACGTCATGGTTAGATGGCTAGTTTCTGGTTATTATTCACCCTAGCTAAGGGCTTTAAACTCTAGAACAGTTGCAAGCCCCACAAAAGGTGGGTAACGCCATCCACTGGGTAAATCTCTATTCAGTGAATAGCACAGTTAGTTTCCCTAATACCTCTCCGCTGGACAGAGATTTATCCAGTGGACAAAGTTATCCAATGTTTGAACAACTGAGAAGTAAATTTACAGTCATCGATCTTCATCATGTCTATCACCAGGGGCCCATAAAAACTGTGTTGCCATTTGCTTATTGTAATAGTTTCAAATTCATAAGAAATGTGTGTGAAGATTGATTGATTAGTAAGCTTATCATGAAATACTGAAATGGATAGGTCAGTGTTGTTTGAAACCAGTTTTTCCTATTTTTCTCAGTGTGCGTGGTATTTGGTAAAAACTGCTGACTTATGATTCAGATCTCAAAGGGTGTTATCCACCACGATCTGCATAATCCTGTAGACCAAACTTAGCCTCACCAGATAGCTGTTACAGTAATAATTAAATCTTCCCTGCAGTATTCCACAGATTTGATCAACATTCCAGTACATTTGTTATAAATTTAAAACAAGCAAATGAAAACAGTTTTTGTAGACCTCCAGACCTCCAGTGCTTCTATAACCTAGACACAGGGGTTTCAATAAAAATTGAAGTAGCCAGCAAGTTTGAATAGAGTACTCGACTGTATCAACAAGAGGGCATTAATCGAGTGCCTCTAGAGGGGTCTGGGGGCATGCTCCCTCTGAAAATTTTGAAATTTCAAAGCCCTAAATTGAGATTTCCAGCGTTCTGGGGACTCAGTTGAGTACAAAACAGTGTGTTCTTCATTCAAGAAAATGTAGCTTTGATTCAGGTTCTGATTATCAGCAACACAACTTACAAGTAATGAACAAAACATTTGAATGAGGACAAATTCTGACTAAACCTCCAAAGAAATGTGTGAAGAATTGACTGTAATACAGCATTTGCATAACTAAAGCATAACTCAAAACCAGTGGGCATTTATGTTTTCATTCAGATTTTATGATAATTATGTTATTTGTTTACGACATCATAAGCACTCATTGCTTCTTCTTTTGGGGAGAAAAGTAGCTGACTTCTCTGAGCAAAATAACTGACGCATTTCGTTGGTCGTCGGTGCTTATTGAAACCCCTGTAGACACCTTCCTTAAATGGATGCCCAGAGTTTGTCTCTGCTAATCTTTAGTGTGGTTCTTTAAAGAGGACACTTACTGCTGGTCGAAAAAGTGCCCATCATAGGGAGACTGGACTGCAAATTCCGTAGAATTTGCGTTTGCCTTGTACACACGTAGATAGCCAGTTTTAAGGCGAGGTAATACAGCGACCATTAATTTTGTGAAAATCTGCAAACTTGCTTGCAAGACAAAAAGTTAGTGCGTAGACAAAGGAGGCTTCCTTGGGCTGCTGCTAATACAATGTGATTGCATAAGCTTTTACGTTCCAAGGTTATAACACAGTCACTAAAATCCTGATTGAATAACGTTTAGGAGCAGCTAATAAGAGATAAGAAATACATGTACTAAGCAGATTATGGCAGGTTTACTTGACTACCAAGTTCTCTTTTTATCACTTTTGTTGTCATTTTTCATTGTTAGACAAAGAGAAATCAGACGGTTCATCACAAGTTACTGGATCAGTTAAAGGATGCCCAAACACATCTAACCCATACCACACGTGTGTTGAGTACTGTCGAAAAAGATATGGAGAGAATGCAGTCCCTCCTCCACCAAAAGTAAGGAAAACCGAAAAAAAAATACATTTGGGTTAAGTTCCATCATAAGTATTTAAGGCAAGAGAAATATCTGCATAATTTATTCTTCAGATCATAGGAGCATGTTTTATTATTCATTCAAATTGCATCATACTTTAGAAACTAGCTGAAACATGCTTAACTTGTCTTATGTTGAGTTCCTGTTTTCATTTGCCTTTTCCTTGGAAAATTCAGCATACAAAGGGAGGTTTAGTCCAGCAGATATTCCTCAAATAACAGTTGTCATCTGTTCTTGCTAATGAAGTTTTAAGGCAGTATCGCATCTACATGTATTTCGTCTTTGCAAAGCACATGAAATTCCACCATTTTCGCCAACTAACGTCTTCTAAAATTGGTTAAGGCTAGCTGGTTATGTAGAATTAGCTGGATTATTATTTTGAGCCAAACAGAAATGGGAAAATATTCTGAGAGGACAATAATAACCCTTTAGTTAACTTAACTTACTTTATCTTGCATCTTGTGGTAATACTGGCAGTAATGATGTTTTTAATGACAATAATTTAGGTGTGCAATAATTTAGCTATCTCGTACTCTCATATTAGTCGTTTTGGCTGTATCCCGGTAGTTACAGTCGAACCTCGATTATCCGGACCTCGATTATCCAGACTTTTCGATTATCCAGACTTGTTTCCCTGGTCTTGTGATTTTCATGAATACAGTGGAACCGCGATATAACGATATGCCAAGGGAGCAGTGGAATTAGATCGTTATATCGAGGTATCATTATATCGAGACTCCCGATATAATGATATGACCGTAAAATAACCGAAATATCGTTATATCAGGGTAAAATTAACATGTACTTTTTTTACTACATATGGTTTAATTAAACTTTTAATGAGTATCAAATGACTCACAAATGTAGCATTTCAAGCACGCAGCAATGTCCTTAAACAATTTGCAAAGCATTAGACATTATCAAGGTTACACAACAAAGACTGTGGTATGAATCGTAAACAAAACAAAACTTAAACATTTGTAGTTGCGACTGTAATCGTCTTTTCTTTTCGCTGTTTGCGTGTTCATTCTTTTTCTTTTTTAACAGACACTTGTTCATTAATTAAAGTACTCTTCAAGTTTGGTTTGCCTCATTTGTTCTATTTGCAATCTTGAAAACGCATCCTCCATCGCTGAAAGAGAATACTAAAACTGAAAGAACTATTCAATGACAAGGAGGATGAAGAGGCATCGTAAACTGAAAGCTGTCAACAGAAACGTTACAGATTACTGTACTCGATTACTGTAATCATAATAATAATAATAATAATAACTTTATTAATCTCCTCAAAAAGGCTTTTCAGCTTAATTTATAATGTCAAATGGATAGACTGAAACTCGTCTGGGAGACTATTCCACAGCCTTTGGCCTCTGAAGGTAAACGCGCGCTGACCTGCAGCCGTCCTACAGAGTGGTATATGTAGGCGGTCCCTATTCCTAGTGTTGCATTTGTGCACTTCCGATCTGGTTTTAAACTTCTGACAAAGATATGGAGGTGCAAGTCCATTTAAGCATTTAAATACCATGGTAGCATGGTAGCAGTATCTGTGTACTGATACTGTAATATCGTTATATCGGGGAAGATTTTACGCTCGGTGTGCTAAAAAGTCATCGTTATATCGAAGATCGTTATATCGGGGTTCTGTCCCATACATTTTACTGTAATTTTTGCCGGGACATAGCATTTTTTATCGTTTTACCGGGGATATCGTTATATCGAGGATCGTTGTATCGGGGTTCCACTGTATTAATAATATGTGATCTTGAAAAATTGAAATGATTAGAAGTTTTTTAATCCTTGTTTGTTAAGAACACTGTTTTTAATCTGTTTCGCTTTGAAAAAGTGCGAGATGCACAAGATGAACAATTATTCCGACAGATGCATTCAGCTGAATTCTGATTGGCTGAATTGTTGTGTTGCTAAGGAAATGTCATACTTGATTCTTTGTGGGTTACATAATCACAAGACCAATCGATCGTAAACTCAAATCACAGCCATGTCTACAAAACAAAAGCAGTCTGTTATCTCAATAAAGGATAAGCAAACGATTATTTCACGTTTGGAGAATGGAGACAAAGAACAAATTTAGCACTTGAGTTAAAAATCAGCAAGTAGCAGATCAGAGATATAAGCAAAAACAAGGAGAAGATCCTGAAATTCACCAACAGCATCGAGATGAGCGATGGATTGAAACGAAAGTCCCTGACGGTTGCAAATGATGAGCAGCTGGATAAAGCAACATTGACCCTACCCAAATAATGCAGCTTTGACAAATGATAGACTTTGCTATGCAATCATGGTAATTTGTTAAAATAAACTACAGCATAGTATGCTTGAACATTTTAGAGTGCTGTAAATACACGAACATCTGAAACAGTACCTTTTTTGTAAATACGTAACATACAGACCATACATAAATGCAAGTGGAGCTAATTCAAAATTAAATTTTGTTTTCTTTATTCCCTATTTTTACATTATTGTCTCATTATATTCATATTTTCGTTATTGGGACTCTGGATTATCCAGACTATTTACTCAAGTCTCAACTGTCCTGATAATCGAGTTTCAGCTGTAAAGGCTTTCAATTGCTTGCTTCAGCATACAGATATACAAGTAGTATTCCTGTCATGGGTGCTTCATGTTAAATCAAGTCAAGGTAAAAGGCCAAGGAGGTTTAAATGGCCTGGAGATTGCTATGGTTTCTATTGTATGAAACTCGTGGGAGAATTACCCTTTTGTAAGACCCCTACGGCAGTTAGAGTAAACACAAAGGAGGCTCCTTAGTGGTGTTGATAAGTGCATAAGCCTTTAAGTGCCAAGATTATAACATAGTAACTTAAATGGCTGATGCTTGCTGTGGTTTTTGTAGCATGAAACAGCTTTGAGAACTCCTACCCGTCTTATAGGTTTACCTTTTATGCCCCATGGTGCTAAAAGACAGTATTTAAAGAAACAAATCTTCTTGTCTAGGAAAACAATGCAAGGGTGTAAAAGCACAAGTACACTGAAACACTTGAACCTGGTCCTCCAGAGGACCAGGGCCTAGTTTGATACATTAATTACCAGTTTTAGAATCCAGAACACCATGGGTTATTCCTACTGAGGTATTGCTTTATAGCAGGTGTTAGTCTTGTCTTTAACTGCACATGTCATTATTCTTCTTTTGTTATTGCAGGACTACAATACTGTTCCCCTACCTGTTGGGTGGTATCTAGTGCCAGACCCTAACAGGCAAGTGCACACTGTAGAAGAATTATTGTTAATGTGTGAAGTACAAAATGTAGGAAGAGGGTGTCTCATCATTGTTTTGCATAACTCATTAATTTTTTGTTTGAATAGAGCAATTTTCAATTGAGTGTTGAAAGTAATCCAGGATTGAATTGGTTTTGCTTTACTGTGCTGTTTGATTGGTCTAGAAAACTCTCGCCACCCTCTCGGCCAATCAGATGCAAACTAAAACCAATCACTCCTTGGTCACTCGCGTTTTCCTGCGCTACAGGCCGGTTACACGCGTTTACTTCGAGTTGCCATTGGCTCCCTCTGATAATTTCCTTTACTCTGATTGGCCGTTGTGATTACTTTGGTTTTGGTTTTCGACACTCAATTGAAAAGCGCTCTATAAAGAAAAAACAAAGCAAATTACCACCTGACTTTAAAGGAGCCTTGGAATTTTGAAAAAAAAATACCATAAAAGCCGTGCACACTTAAGCTTTTTGTTTAATAAAATAGATAATAATTATTGTTAATTTGAGAGGTAACATACACTTGAGGTATGATTATAAGAGATAAAAGACCTAAGCTAAACACTCAAGCAGACTCCATCCATGAGAAACTCTTTTTAATTGTCGTTTGTCCATTTTCACACTTTCTTTTTCTAAGAATATTTCCACAAATCATGTTAATCTCTTATCTTTTGATAATGATGACATGAAGCCATCGAAACATCAAGTTTCTTTTCTTTTTATTATTAAGAGCTGTTTGTACCAACTTGATAGGCAGCAAGCAAAGGTGGTCTACCAACCTCCGCAGTGCCTTTTTTTTGTCAATCCAGCCTTCAGTGTCAATGCAAATTAAGTTTTAAACATGTGTTGTAAATACTTTTAGGTGGTGCAAGTTTGATTGCCTACTTTATTATCTTGAGTAAAATGTAGATTCCATTGGGTGAAAGTCAAGTGCATTTCAAAATTTTGTTGGAGATTGTACCTCAGGGAGTTAAAGTGTTTATACTTGTCTAGACTAAACTTTTTGTGTGGTTGTTTCTCTTATCACCTCTGTTTTTAAAATATGGTTTCTAACCTCACTCATTGATCCCTAGTGTTGTCTGTGATACAACCTGTATCCTCAGTTGTCCATCATGGTACCAAGCAGCTGCTATGCTGTCTAATCATGGGCATCCATGTCTCTGGATTCTTAATTCTGTTCTCTCTACTGAACTTATGTGGATAGCCACTATCTAAGTACTAGTGAGGGTCTCTGTCAATAAGCTTACATGTAACATCATCCCATTTAGCAAATAGTGCCTGGTCTTACATGTATTAGCATGTTATCAGTGCTTCTAAGTTTTTTTGGTAATTTAAAGAATAGTATTTCAAGATGGCTTAGCTTGTGTATTTGTGAAATCAGTACCCTCACTATGATTTCTTCATGATGACAACCAAACTAAGCAAGAATCAAAATATACCCAACATTATCAGGATACAGCTCCAGAAACACCTAAAACTGAATTTTCAAAATTGTGTGATTTGATTTCTTTTGTTGGTCAACTGTGGTTATGAATGTAAGTTACATGGGATAATAAGAAATAGAAATATTCACATTTCCTTCCTTTTGCAGTGGTTCAAATTATTACTGGAACACAATAACGAATCAAGTATCTTGGCATCACCCACTCAGTAAGTAGAAAAACTAAATCAAAAGCTTTAATGAAATGTTAACCCCATGTGTATCAGCAATGGTCTCTATTCATTTGGTTAAAGAGAATTTGTGAGATTAGTTGATAGAGCTGGGTTTTTAGTGCCAATAGGCACTAGAACCTTTAGACACTTTAATAAAGGTTATGTAATGTGTATTTATGTACCGGTATGTATATATGTATGTATAGAGCTCTTTGGTAATTGACCACTCCAGAAAATACCATAACATACCATAATGCTCTTTGTTTGTCACCCCAAAATTTTGCATAAGCATTGTTTTCAATTTCTCTTGGGAGTTAAATGACCCCAAGAGAAACTGAAAACATTGCTTATGCAAAATTTTGGGGTGACAAAGGAGAAGCATTATGGTACAGCTGTATGTTATGGTATTTTCTGGAGTGGTCAATTATGCTGGTACAGTGGAACCTCAATATACCTCGAAGTCCTGGGTATAGTGAATGATTTTGTTTACCTGAGTAATAGTAAAATAATTTATATGGAAAAGAACCTCACGGAATTTAAAGATTTGTTTCTACAGAGGAATTCGGGCTGCAGAAGAAATGAGAACGTTATTCTTCCAAGACCACAAACAAATTTTATCATGAACTCCATACGCGTTAGAGGAGCAATCGCATGGAACAGCTTAACGAACAAGGAAATAAGGACTAAAAGCTTGAAAGAATTTAAACACCATCTTGTAAAATTTGATACTGATAAAATGAATTTCGTACCTCTTTTAGCTACAACTAAAAATAGAGATTTTGGTTACGAATACTTTTAACAGTTTTAATTTCTAATTGTACATTTTCACAACCTATTAATTTTAGCTACAACTAACAACTGAAATATCAGTTACAAACATTTTTAACAGTTTTCAATTTTTAATCATACATTTGCTTTCAGTACTCCTTATTTTTCTTGTAATTGTTGTATGCACGACCCCACCAGCAATGCTGATCTTTTTATCATGCTAAAATAAAGTTCTTACCTATAATTAAATTCATTGTAGAGAACGAACTGGACCATAGGCACTTTCTTATATCGAGGTTTCACTGTATTTCATAAATTATACTGTATGTAATCATTAGGGATTAGAGAACTTAAATGCTGCTAATGGTCCTCAAACCTTCTGAACTGTGGCCTGTTTTTTTTCAAATTTTTGTTACTTAAGTTCAAGTTCAAGTTAATTTATTCACACTTATTCAATTACAATACAACAACAAAAAGAAAAAAAGAAGAAGTAAAAACAGAGCTGACTATACATAGAATTAAACATAACAAAGGAAAAGGTGTGTAGCAGCCAAAAGAGCCAAGCTTTCGAGTTGGGTACTAAGAGAGAAGTTGCCTGCCATAACATTGCTGCAAACTGTTCCCAAAAGTTATTTTGATGTCTATGAACGAGCAACATGTCACCTTCCTCATATTATCAGATTTAAGTGTAGCTTTTCACACGATACAACTGTACATCATGATAAGCTGATTGGTCGCCTTGAGTCTGATTTGGGACTAACTGACAATGTGCTTGCCTGGTTTAAATCGTATCTATCTGACCGGTTCCAGTGTGTCTTTGTAAATGTTAGTCTCTCCGATCAGTTTCCTTTAAAACAAGGTAATAAAAAAATGTCTTTATTAAATGTACAAGTAAAAATGCATACCAATATTTACAAGTTTAATATCATTGGTTAAAAAGTAAAAGTATATTTAAAATACATTTTTTTTAATAAAACTAGCTTTAAAGCGTTCCGTGTTAACACAGGGTAGTAGGTTTGTTTGAGTTCTCATACGTTTTGAAGATTCTTTAACTCTGGGCGACAAATTATACAGCGGATGAGTAGGTAGGCAACTAATCTTCTTGGAGATTGACCTGTCTGTTTTTTCAAGCAAATCGTATATTTCTATAGCATAGGATATATAACGGCGTTTACGACATCTGCGAAGGAACTGGTGCACAGTATTAAGTTCAGGAACGGAGGCTGCATACACCGGTAAACCATACGAAATAGTAGATACAGCCGTAAAACTAAAGACTGAAAAAATGGTCAATTTTCACTTGGTTATATTCTTTTTTCCTTAGACTCCTTAACACTTAGAGGCACTTATTCGCTTCGGAGAGTTTTCGTTTAATGTTTTTAAGGTGTTCCTTAAGGTTCATGTTTGGGCCCCTTGCTTTTCAATACCTACATGCCCAAACTGTTTCAGATCGTTGAACGCCACCTCCCACAAATCCACTGCTACGCGGACGACACACAGTTGTATGTATCATTCAGCCCTAATCGATCTGCAGATGCTGATTTTGCCATCAAGTCCATGACTGACTCACAGTATCAGTGATATTAGGAGTTGGATGAATTCAGATAATCTTATGTTAAATGATGATAAAACAGAATTTTTAATCTTAGGCACTCGGCAGCAGCTGACAAAGTTCAACATCAATTGCATTAGGGTTGGGTCGACTGATGTTTGTCCTGTAACAGTAGCTAGAAACCTACATGTAGGCTCATGGTTTGATGAGCAGCTCACCACAGTGTATGTCAACTCATATTGTGGGGTTGCCTTTTACCATTTGCATAATACCAAGCGCATTCGCAGGTACTGTATTTGTCTCGAGAATCAACGCCAGGAATGCTTGTCCATGCATTGATTACATCTCGTGTTGATTATTGCAACAGTCTTTTGTATGGGCTGCCCAAATACCAGCTTAACAATTTGCAGAGACTTTGAACGCCCCAACATGCGCCTAGGTTTTGCCACATCTCAGCCCTTGTGCGTGGTCTGCATTGGCTACTTGTTAAAGCCTGGATACAATTTAAGATACTGCTTATTACGTTTAAAGCAATTCACGGCCTTGCCCCTAAATATTTATGCGATTTACTAACATTTAAATCGTCTTTATATAACCTTAGATCTTCAGGTAGTATTTTACTTTCTATGCCAGCTGTTCGATCGAAGACTACGTCGGGTGACAGAGCTTTTATGGTAGCAGTGCCAACGCTCTGGAACTCTCTTCCGAAAGAACGTCGTGCGATTACTAATGTGAACAGTTTTAAGGCGCATATCAAGACTTATCTTTTTAGAACTGTATATTGGTGATCAATTTTATATTCAGTTACTTACTTGCATGCATATATATTCTTTTGATTGTTATTTTTTAAATGCATTTTTTGGTTGGTTTACTAGTAAAGTAATGCAGTTGTAATGCACAGCTGATCATTCTCATGTTAAGTTGTGCGCAATAAGTTCATAAATTATTATTATTATTATTAAAGATTAATGTCATAGGTATCATAAGCATTACATAAACTGCTACTTTTGTAGATCCAGCAGCAGAAATAACCACACCGGCATCTGTGGTCAACAGTCAAAAAGGTATGCTATTTCAGCTTGTGCGCCTGCCTCAAATAAGTGCCCCCCTCTCCTACCCTAGACTTTCTCCAACGTTAAGGCTATTACAAGAAAAGCCCCTGCAATTCCTTTTATCTCTATCTTGTCCAATTTCTTTAATTTCAGCTACACTGGCACATATAGGAGAATGGTTTCTTCTCCATGAAATCAATTCCAATGGCTTTCACTTCTTTGGGCTTGAAGAGTTTCTTTTTATGCATTATTCTTTAATTTTTCGCTACGACTGCATTCTTTTTGAATGCCAAAAAACTTGTCAGGCACTATTGGACCATTATCTATGTCGCCAATAAAATTAAAAAATTCAATTAAAAAAATGTCAGCAATTCAGCTTGTTTATCCCGGGTAGTTGCAGTAAACTTCTTTTCAAAGCACATGACACTATAGCTTTGCTCTAGAGGTGTGTTCTGGAAATACCTAGCATGAAGTAATCCGTGCTCATGCTTTGATAAAGCTCTCGAGATGAAGATAAGATGCTTTATTTTTCTTGGTGCTTCGCACCTCACTGTGTCGACTTCACTATGACCCATTAGCAATTAGACAAGGACAAATAACGTCTGGTTCCCATTTTGACTTTTTCGTTCATGTTCGGAGTAAGTTGGTACTTGAAGAATTCCGCATCAGACACTTGATCAGGGCGGGACTTGAACTCGAGGCCTCCGAATTTTAAGTCCAGCGTGCTAACCACTCAGCCACTCTTCCTCCTTTTTCCGCTCGGTCACGCTGCCTATTGAAACGGGTTTTGAAGTTCGTATTTAGGAGGATCAGCAGTGTAACAATCCTCTTTGATGCTCATATGCATGCTATGTAGGACCATACCAAGACAAGAATTCTTATTAAGGCAATATCGGAAAAAAATAATGTCATTTCTTGTCCTAGCCATACTATTTTTTTATAAGGCATACACAGAAACTACAACATTTATGTGCCTCAGTTGACCCTCTCCCGACTACAGAGCTGACAGGATATCACACATTGTTTAACTAATTACCAAGTGCGATAACAACAGAATAATCTTTTCTCTGGTGACTTTATGTTAGCCAAAATTATCTGATTTAAATGACAGTGCATTATTGCTTTGTTTCAAGACACTGAAGTTCAACCCAATAGAGAGATCTTAGCCCCTCCTGGTGTGGAGTCTGAACAGGATAAAGAGCAAGTACTAAGTATTGGTAAACACCCTAGTCTAATGAAGGTAATGAACTAAACAGCTAGAAATATAAAGGCCTATAGTAGGAAGGAAAGCGTAATGAATTACCGAGGGTTTGTTTTAAAATACAGTGTTTTATTTAGTGAGTAAATGAAATAAAGTGACACTTATTTGTCCGTGTAACTCTGTAAGCTTACATACAAACCTGATATGAACATATTCCTCTTGTTATATAGTAATTCATGCAAACATGTTATATATGTTTGCAGGTGATGTATTTATGTGTGATTTGAATTTGAATATAGTTGCAAAACAACCAAGAACCTTTTAGTGTGGATTTTATCCCTGTCATTGGGAACCAAAATTCCTAGTTTCCGGTGTGAAGACAATGGAAATATCACATTGTTGTTATTTTATTTACTTTAGGGTAACACATTGGTTTTATTTCTTTACTCAGATTATATATATCATATCTTTTCTCACGTCATATTTTGTTCTTTAATTGCCCCCGCAGGGATTTCGCCCAGAGGCGAAATCCCGAGGAGGCATCCTAGTAACTCGCGCGTATATTAAGGACAGTACTTACAGTTCAAATATACTGTCAGTATACTAGAAAAAATCTCGATTTGCTGGAACTGGGGCCGCGAGGAATCGGTAGGTAATGATGACGTTTCTATTGTTTGCGCCCGCAAGTACGAAATGGTTAGGATGACGTAAAGACAGAAAATCCCGAAGGGACCGCTCAGTTAGATTTTGTGACATTTATTGTGCAGTCACATTTCGATACTCTTTTGCGTTACGAAGTGACATTCTGTGGAGCAGTTGTTTTGAAAGTTATGGACCAAAAGACAGTCGTTAAGAGCAGTGGGGGTTATAAGGTGCGTTTAACTGTGTATATACAAACACTTGGAGAGTTTACCAGACACGAGTTCACAAATCTTTGATTTATATTGGAAACCTTGCCAGACACTGTTTCTCTCTCTTTGACCGGAATAAGACTCAGCCCCAAACAAGCAAGACAAGTGAACAACGGCTAGCTTATCACTAGCAGATTGATGGACATTTACAGAAATTCACCGACAATCAAATTCTGTGCTGACTTATTCCCTGCTCACAGATGTCCTTCCGTTATAAAGTTTCGAATAAGACTAGAATGCGCTAGCGTGAATCGATCAAACGTCCTTTTAATTTCTAAGGTTACTTTCCGGCAAATAAAATGAACTGAATGTAAAAAGGGAAAGAGAAATAGCGAAAAATTCAACTTCTTAATAAATCTTTTCTTATGGTTTAGAATAAACTATTCTCGAAACTGAGAATGTTTTGATCAAAGCTGTGTAAATCGAGCTGAAACTGTGCATGGAACCTTGCGTTTCCTGTATTTATCTCACCTATTTTATGGAATATGTGTGAAATTCTTCATTATGAATCGGTATATTTCAAAGAGCTACACAAGGAGCAAAAATACTATATACAGAGTGGGGGCAGCTGTAGTGTCAACTATTACTAGTACTTTATTAGGATAATAAATCTCACATTGGTTTCATTTCTTTACTTTAGGATACTTAATCTCACATTGGTTATATTTCCTTACTTTAGGGTAATTAATTTGACATTGGTATTTTTCCTTTACTTTAGGGATCGCAAAAAAGAAAACAAGAGAAAGGTATTGATGAATTGGTGTTCATGTAATGCGATTGGAATATTTTAAAAGCCGAGAAAGTGCTGCTAATAATAACTGTTGTTAGTATATACTAAAACAGTGGATAGTGTTTTTCGCGCGCTCTGATTCAGCAGCTTATTCAGTGAATATCCTGCACTATTCACTGATTCACCTCCAGTTCCTCAGAGCGAGCGACGCCAAACTCACGTAAGTTGCGAGCAAAATACCTTTCCGGTTTGCTGCCGTAACAAACAAAGAAATTTCAAAACTAATCAAGTAAGCTGTTCCCGAAATATACGAAGAAGGTGACGAAGTTCGGTTTGGAAGTTTTAAGAGGGAAAGCTTTGTCTTTTTGACTTGAATTTATCGATAAAACCGGTGAAAAAGTTTTTTGTTTACGAATGCAAATTTCGAAAGTCTTTCGTTACTTTATATAGTTGACTTGTTCATAAATAAGCTTAAAACTAAATTCAATAATCTTTTTTACCGAATGATTTTAAATAAAAAAAGAATTCACAACTCCTTTTGAAGAAATTTCCCCGCAAGAGCTAAACAAATGCCTTCAAAAGGTTTATTTGTCGGCAAGAAAAAGCGACGATCGCGGCCGTTCGGTCATTGCGCGCCAAAATGTAATCGTTGGCAACAGTAAATGAGTTAAAAATGATTTTTTTGTGCTCTATTATCTCACTGTTTTAGTATATACTAAAAGAATTATTCACCTCAGTGTCGGTGGCTAGTGGTGGTTACTTACGTCGCCGCTTCGCGGCCTCGGTAAAGGGTACCACTAGCCACCTCCACTTCGGTGAATAATTGTTATTTATTGTCTTTGTAGACTTAAGAGCTGAGAAGCGTAAGAAGTCCGCTGAGGAAGTCGACCCAATGGACCCAGCAGCTTATTCAGATGCTCCAAAGTATGAAGAATCTAGTTTGTTGCAATTTATTTGGTTCAAATATCATGTCGCTTTCACACCATCGGAAATTTCTCAATTTTAATTTAGCAGGGTATCTCCCATAAAGCGAGCCTCCTTAGTCTGTCCAGTTTTTTTTACGGAATTCAAACTATAGAAACTTCCTTCCAAAATATCTCGATAACGCTCTCGTAGATTCCGCTTTAACGTCTTGAACATCGAGATTGCAATTGGAGGAAAAAACTCCAGCTAACGTTTTTTTAAAAAAAAAAATCCTCCCAGTACCGAGCAATACGGTTGCAATCAAAGATTAGAGAATGTCCTCATTTCGTTGCTATGACGACTCCGATGTCATCGTAACACTGATCATAAAAAATTTTCTTCTTTATCTAATACAGCTGTGGTAGTTATTTTTTCAAATCTTTGTTTATGTCGACGTAGTTTATGCTCAAACTTGGAAGGTATTGTCCCTGAAAAACCCGGCCTATCCATCCAGCCACCTTGTACCTTCTCAAACTCTCTAATAATCTGAAGAGAAAACAAAGGAGACCCCTACCGCTAAGGAAGTCTGCTTTTCAAAATCTATTTACTCCAATTTTTTTGAAATTTAGCTTGAAATTTCTGCAAAAACTATTCGTCATTTAAGCAGCTATATCATTCACTAGTTCAGGAGTGTTTCATCCTGGCGATATCCAGAGGTATCAAAGGTTAGTCTGACTTGAAATATGTCGGTAACATCGTTAAGCGCGAAACTTTCAAATGAAAACTACCGAATATAGTACAAGATTGTTCCTCCTTATTAGACTGTACCTTCCCGTCTCACTGTTGCGTTAAATGTGTATTGGTACCAACCAACTTCTTTACATTGCATAAAAGTTGCTTTGAGGCTCAATGGATGGTAAAAATATATTTTGCTGTTGTTGTTTTATGTTATGACATCTGTGTTGCAGGGGAACATGGACGACTGGGTTAATAAAGAAAGGAGAAGCTAAGACTGGTGTAGACACAACAGCCAATGGACCACTGTTCCAAATGAGACCATATCCTAGTCCGGGGGCAGTACTAAGAGCCAATCAACAACTGGCACAGAAATCCACAGTGGAAGCTAGTGAATGAATATGAACTTAAATAGCTAGCAAACTGAGCTGACGTACCGGAGATCACCATCACTTGATAGGGCTGAGAGCGATGCCATACCATTGCTCATTGCAAACAGTCATCATCGTACACTAGTTTTAAAAGCCATTTTGTCACAAGAATCCGGATGTTCATCTTTTCTTTCGTCTTAAACTCTGTTAGATTTACCTACTAAAAATTCATCTTGATAATGCACTAAATGATTTAAAAACCGTGATTAAGGAAATTACGTGAAGACGTTTTTTCTTGGTAGACTTATCCAGTGCAAATGGCAAAACCTGAAAGCACGCGGGTTTAACGTTTAGTAGCCGGCGTGGCTGGCGGCATTATTATACTCGGAGTACACGCTTGGCGCCACGCGAAGCATGCGGCGAAGCGAGCGACAAAGCCACGATGGAAAATTTGACTTGTTCACAGTCTTCCCGCGGCTCCGCCTCCAAAAAGCAGCACTCCCCTACTGATTCCGCCACCAACGCAGGTTAAGCATTTTAAAGTTGTAGTCCACTGGCTTTCATCTCAAAGTTCGTCATGCAATAGCCCGACATAGTTAAAATTAAAATGTCCTTCCCCAACTTGTACGTGAATGTGTTGTGGTTAAATTTTATCTTTGGTTTAATTAAGAATTTGTTCATGCTTAGCGTGGGTATATCGAGTTATGGATACACGCGGAAAGTTTGGAGAGCACGGAAGATGCGTAAGAGTAGCTCGAGGCGCAGCCGAGAGCAACTCTAGCTTCTTGAGTGCTCTCCAAACTTCCCAAGTGCATCCATAACTCGATATACGCAAAGCTAAAAGCATGAGCAAATTCTTTTATAACATAGCTGACAAAAATGCTTGCTTTTTGATTAACTGCAAAATTCTCGTAACGCGCGACATAGAAAAACAAACGCTTTTATTGGCTGGTTACAAACACGCCACAATCGTCTAGTTTGAAAGAAAAGTCTTTCTGTAAAACTGAGAAAGAAAATTTGCTTATTTATTCGTTAACGATCAATGGAAACTAAGCAGAAACAAAGGTAAAAGAGTCTTAAAGTCCACCTAAAGGTAAAATACTCACATGTTCGCGATCGATAGAAGTTGTGGAGTATGGTTTGGATTCGCTGAAAAGATGTTTATGTTTTGCGCGGCGAAATCCACAAAAATTCTCTTTTTAGCGAAGACGATTGTCATCCTTCTTTCAGTGGGATTGTTCGGCGACAACAAACGTGCGTAATTTTTCACTACAATGAACTTGTTTTGTAAAGGATAAACAAACGTTAAAAGAGGAGGAAACTTTATACAAATTGGATATTTTCCGACACAGACCAATTTGTGCTCTTTTTTCTAGCTGAATGTCAGTCTTTACGGCAGACTTTTCAACGATTTTACGAAACATCACCCCTTTTTCTGTTGGTTTGAGTGGCTAGAAGCTAAATTCCAAAAATGCTAGAAAGTTTTTCATCATTGCCGTCGATTTTTGGGTACTTAGTACGAAGGGTAAAGAGACGAAAAACACAGTTGGACACGTCCTCATGAAAAAAGTCGTTATTTTCGCTTGGGCGTGCATAAATTTATTTTCCTATTTGGATATGGCATAGATAATAGAAAGAGTTTCTATTATCCATAGATATGGTTATGTATCACAATGAGTTTGAAAGTTGATTCTCAAACTCATGAGTAATTCATAAAGAAAATACAAAGAAAATTAACGTTTAATGAGTGTTTGGAAATCAGATGAAAAACTACTCATTTTTGCATCATTAATTTCTCCTTGTAAAATAATTTTGTTTGAGAAGTAATATCAAGAACTCGACACAGTGGTTCATCACCAGATGAAACACCTCGAAGTTCGTCAAAAATACTTTGCTGCGCGTCGTATTTTTAACTCTCTTCTCAGTGTTTCAGCTTGTGATGAAACACTGCGTCTGATGCTTGATATATTACAAAAGGTCTTGGGAAAAAGTAACCAAAGGGTTGAGAGGGGTCCACTGACCAGTTAATTAATAAAACATACGAGGTGGGACTGTTGTTAAACTTTCCACAAATGATCTAAAATCGTAGATCAGGCGGTCAAAAGAAAGCTGTCGAAAAATATTACTTTTATTTTTTTGTTACATCATATGAAAGCGCCCACTTGTGAGGCTACAATGTTATTTGTGTATATTCTCACATGTTCCGAAATGAAGTCAGGTTTTGTAAAACCCTTTTTGCGATGAACATTTTCACCTCTTTGAAATGTTAATGTCACTTAGAAAGAACGCAAAACTCAGCTGTTGTTGCGACAGTTTTTCCTACATTTTAAAGTGTTTGTCTGTAAAGGTACTTGAAGTTAAGTGACGGACAGATAAACAGTTAAATATCATGAAAAGTTCATTACCTTTGAGAGGGTTCATTATACTGTTAGCGCTAATGGAGTTTCAAGAACGAAAATCTATGGCAATTAATAACTAATAGCAAATAAATGCGCGGCGGACAAGCGGAAACAGTTTCAGCCTTACTCCTTACACCGCAGTCCAGCAGCACGCAAAGGTAAGAAAACCGTTCTGAATCTTGTCTCCATACTCAGTCTACTGAACCGTAATAACAATTAACCTTAGTTAGTATCTTTAACTTAAACCTAAGTTATAATACTAGTTTCTAGCCGTATTTTAGTTTTATTTTAATGTATTATTGACTTTTATTTTAGAGGACCCTCCTGAAAACCACCGTTAGGTGATTGGACACCTCCTCGTAAAATATTTAACAATTATTCCTCAAGCCCGAATGGGCTCTGAGTCAACAGCCCATGAGGCCGAAGGCCAAATGGGCTATTGACTCAGAGGTCATGAGGGCGAGAGGAATAATTGTTTTAGTAAAATCCGACTAGTTGCTCAAAAATATCGAGACAAAACAACTTTAGCTAGTTAAAGCTAGACTTTAAGCCTTTTTTTGCCGCCAAAAAGCCGACGCTTTGCCCTACTAGTGGGCTATAACATACAAACTAGTAGTAGATGACTGGTAGTGAGTGTTAGGAAAGCACAAGAGGAACACAGCATACTGCTGATTGTTTCTACAATAATCCAACGTTCTGTTTAAACGTTCTGTCGGATATTAGGTCGTTGGCATGCGCATTTGGTCATATCTAAGCGCGTTATTTTACGTGAATTACCCGTGCATAGCCAGCGATCAAATGTTTAGGTTCCTGGCAAGCTGGTAACAGCTTTGCCTGATTTAGTGACTTGGCAAACACCGAAACTTCATGTTCTCAATGGTTGAAGAATAAATTGACCAAGGTTCAAGACATCAACAATCACATACTTCCTGCCGGACTTAAGATTAAGAATGAAACCTTTGCTCAATGCCAGTATTCGTTTTCACACTAAAACTTCCAGTTTATAAGCTATTCATTAGCCTGTGAACGGACTCAATATGAAGGGGTATGGCGAAAAGGAAAGAGGAATTGTATGCCTAGTCCCAACCAGAAGGCCTGTCCTCATGTTCCGCATACTGGGTAAGGTGGCTCGATACAGTTTTTCTGGGTCAATACCTTCCAAGTTTGAGCAGAAACTACGTCACATACGTTTGTAAAAAGATTGAAACTAATATGAGGTACATTAGGCCATTTCCGAGTATCAAAACGAGGTTAAATGCTCAGCCTTTGATATGGAAATGATTTTTCATTCTCTTGCAAATAAATCTCATTTTCACAAGAAAGGTTGTGCACTTGGTTTCTTTTTTTAAATGCTGCAAGTTAAGTAGGTAAAGGCGTCATTTCGTTACTATGACAACTCCGATCATACAAACTTTTATCTTTATCTAATACAATAGTAGTGGAATTTTTCCAAATCTTTGTTTATGGCGACGTAGTTTATGCTCAAACTTGGGAGATATTGACCCGGAAAAACTGTATCTAGCCACCCTAAACAATTATTTCCGAGACGAGCAATTTACAGTTCATATACCCACGGAGTCTCACGTCCAAATGATGTAGCGCGCCTGAATATAACTAAACACCGCATAATTAGTTAAGTTTCTAAAACAACTGGACAACGATTTCTGCAAGATTTTTCTCTTTGGATGGAAATGCTCATGGGGATACGTAGTACTCACTAATTTGAAAATATTACCATAACGTCGAAACAGTAATTATCACAAGGCAGATGTTTTGGCGGCCTGTTCGTAGGCTAGAGTTCAGCTTGGAATTTAAGGGTGTTGCAGTGACCGATTGCAGTGAATCAATGTGAATGAATGTGAAGTTTAAAACATTACTGTAGTAAACCTCGTGAAGATTACGTTATGTTTTTTTCTTTAAGGTTTTTATCGAGCCTTTCCTGGTTAATATAAAAAAAGAGTTAAAAATATAGATTTGGCGCAAAGTTGCACTTTGAATGGTGCTTCGAACGAAAGTTAGTTTCCGAGATCGCGGTAGGAAATACGCCAGAACTTCCTGCTTGGAAATATGATTAATCAGCATTGTGATGATACTTTAGAGTAATTTGAGTTATTTAAAATTTGCGCATTCGTTAATCTATCACGACTTAATTGAAAATATAAGGTTTGAAGTTTATTTGTGTTTTGTTTGAATTCAAACATACAAATAAATTCTCACGAAGATTATTTGCCGAACACCACACTTCAAGTTGCAGATGTTGGAATTTCAATGGCAGATAAATCTAGATGTCCAAAATTCCTCTTAACTGATTTCAAAGATTTTTGTTTATCGTTGTCATGGTAACAACGATTCTACATTGAAAATCGACCAACCACGCCCAAAATTATGCAAAATTTTACATTTTATAATTACAACACAAAAGCAAACATTTAAGCTCTCAATTTTTCTTTTATTGCATTTGGTTCAATGGTAAATATGTCAAATTAGTCAGAGAATTTTTGAATTTCTTGGTAATAATTTAATGTTTTCTTCTCGCCCAAGTCTCTCTCTTTTACAGTTTACAGAATGCGATTAATTTCGGAAAACCCGATTAGTTCCATTTTGTAGCTATAGTCATAATCAGCAAACGAATTAATTTAAAGGAATCTTTCTAAAGTGTTGAAAAATGATTGAAAAAGGCAAACAATGGGTGTGGCAAGTCACGTGAGTAAGAGAGTCCATCACTCAAAAAAAGGGCCACGTATACTAACCATAAAAGTTTTCCCGAGCCCCGTTTCTTAATTCACCCGAGTAGTATCAAGTCAGTGGTAAACGTAACCGAGAGTCGTGGCAGAATCGTGTCGCACGGCAAACCTTGTCGAACTTAATTGCTCTTCCGAACCAAATTCAAAACTTTGATTCAGACGTCGTGGTTTTGCCGTGCGTAATTCCAGAGTTTCGTAGTTTCGCTACGGTGTTGTACAGCTTGCAATTCTCTGCATTTACATAAGGAGAATCGGTTACGATTCAGCAACAGTAATCATTTTTTTCACAGAGGATCAATAACCATATCCACCTTTCATCTCCGAGGTTTCTTGTTGTCGTCTTCTTCTTCGTTGTTCAACCCGCCATTTAAGTGTTGCCTGGAAACCCAGAGACTATAAAGGGGACAGAGAGGGCATCCCCCATATACACCCTATTCCATAGGTAATTCGTCTCGAGTTATTTTTAACACCACAGATCTCAAGGGGGATTAGACTTCAGCCAATCACATAGCGCGAATGTGTTCCGCGTGGATGACCCACGCTGAGAGCCACGCGTCCTTCACGAAATGACGCAGAACAAAATGGGGGAAGACGCGGAGAGCGATTTTGCTATTCCTTTTGTCAACGAAAAAGACTACAGCGAGATTTCTGTGAAAGCTGTGTCAGCGAAACCGAAATTAAAAAAGAATCGCCCTTCCTCTCTTGTATAGAGCTAACAGTAGAGCAGGGAAATCCTTAACACACTGAATGTTCTCTCAGGATCATTTATAATTTACAGTTTGAAGAGAGCAATTTCTGGTTTGATGTTTATTTTTTTCAGTCTTTATAGCGATTATTCCTACCCACTTACTTTGTCAATTGTAGGCGAACCCTCCTAAAGCTGAATTTCAAGGGACCATATTCAAGCTCAGAAAGAGAAATAAAATTTCGTCGTTGCTTATTTACGTCCTCCATAAAACGCGAAATTAGGCATTTTCACGTCGTAGTCGTGCAGAAACGGGAAAGAAATGAACAAAAAAGTGTGTTGCACGTGCGAAGTTGTTGTTTTGCTAATGAAACCTATTGTTTTTTTTGACGTTCTAGTTGTCGTCCGCGTCGTTGGATCTTAAACTCCCTAAATTGTACAAACGACCGGTTTCAATAGACCGGCGAAATTTCTCATTTTATTAAAGCACTGAGGTTACGACAACTTCGAGTTAAACTGATTTCACGGGTTGTCAAAGAGTCCAGCGATTCCTTTTTCCCAGGTGAGCGCCGACTCATTTCGCTTCAATATTCAGGAATGCTCTCGATCATTTTACGCTTTCATTGTCTCTCGCCCGACATGTTTTGCAAGGCGTTTGGTCATGCCTCCTCGAAACATCCACGCCTCGCGCGAGGTAACTTTATCCCGATTCTAAAAATAACTCGAGACGAATTACTTATGGAATAGGGTGTATATGGGGGATGCCCTCTCTGTCCCCTTTATAGTCTCTTGCTGGAAACCGCATATCGACGCGACGTCAAACTGAATGACGTCAATCGGAGCTTAGTCGCGAGATCGTTGCTAGGAAACTCCGGATACCAAACCGTTTTTAAACCGGTAGAAAGAAAGACTTATAACCAAAGCAAAATCGCACTCCGCTTGCGATCTTCTTGCGGGCGCGAAAAAATATATATAAACTCGCTTTCGCGAGGAATTGACACCACTCTTTTGATTTTTCGGCGATTTTTCCCAGCCTCATAAGCGGTCACTCCTCCCGTAAACAGACACTGTTTGATAAAAATGCTTTAAAAAGGAAGCCTGTAGATTGCCTTTTCTCCATAATTTTCTTTGTTCATTTTCAGTTTGAATAGGATAACATGACTTCTCAAGCCAGCACTACCGTATGCGGATTACCTACGTGGATCGCCTTCCCTCCAGCAAACGATTCCACATCTTACATTAATGATACTGTGGCATTGGCAGTTAACATCCCAATGAGTATATTCGCCTTCGTCAGCAACCTCACCATTATCGTCATAGTAACCAGGACTCCACAGCTTCGAACACCCAGCAATATCCTGCTGTGTAGCCTGGCCGCCACTGACTGCTTGCAAGGCCTGACGTCACAACCATTGTTTTACATTTGGCGTTTGATGGTGCATCGCGCTCGTCAATCATGTGATTATCAGATAGAATTATTTGAAGGCCGATATGTGTTTAACACTCTAACGTCAGGCTGGTCTTTCGCTACACTGACCCTTATTAGCTTCGATCGAGCGCTGGCGTTATCCAAGCCGCTGTTTTATCGCGCTAATGTAACAAATGAAGGTAATAATAAAAATATAATAATAATAATAATAATAATGATAATAATAATAATTCCGCTAATTACCCTAGGCAGTATTTATAGCACTAATGTTAGTGGGGCCTATCAAATGCCTGACACAAATAATTCAAATTGAACTTAACAGGGTTAAGAATCCCAACAGGCCGCGGAGTCGGCCGCGGAGGCAAACCAGCTGGCTATTTACAAGCATGGTCGAGGATTTGAACTTGGGACTATCGTGAACAAATCCAGCTAACGGTCAGAGCGAGACTTGAACTGGAGGCCTCCGAATTGCAAGTCCGGCGCTCGAACCACTCGGCCACGCCGGCCACGCCGTGACGAAAATTTCTTTCAATGTGAGAAGTATTTCTCTTCGTAGGAAACCTGGATTAAATTAGCGTCGTTTCGAACTGTTACTGCTAGTCTTCATTTAGCGATAAGGTCGACTTGAACACGCGCCATCTTATCTGGCGCCACAGTCAGCCCTTATTAGTGATGGAGATGATGTTCCCTCGATAGTTCGCACCAGAGACTTATTATCATTATTATCCATCTTTTCGTCAATAGCTTAAAATAATACTCACAATTGTCTTTGCTCCGAAGTAGAAGATATGACTGATAGTATTTTTTTCTTTCTAACATTTGACATGTTTCAATTTCAGTTGCGTTGAAATGGACTTCCTTGACTGGGATAGTCTGGCTATTGCTCACGATTTTCATCCACTTCATCCTACCCGAAATGCCGTCATTCATTCTCCGGAACATTTTCGGAATGCTGTTTATCATACTCCCCATCATCTGCCACATTAAAATGTATTTTGCTATCCGACACCAAAACAAGCAAGTGCAAGACGCAATGGAAGGCCACCAGCAGCTGAGTATAATTTTTAAGCGAGAAAAGAAAGTGGCTGTAGATATGTTTATTGTTATCATTGCACTTTTGATTTGCCTCGGTCCTGCGATGGTGGTGCAGATTATTTTTTCCCACTTTTTCCATCAACTGTACGATCTTTTTTATAGTTGGTCCTTTACATTGATTTACCTCAACTCTTGCATTAATCCCGTCCTGTACATTGTAAGAAAAAAAGAACTTAGAAACTTCTTATGTTTTTGTCTACAATGAAAAACACAAGAATGGTAATAACAATAAAAATAGTGATGCTTATACTGCCACTACTACAGGTGATGATGATGATGATGATGATGATGATGATAAACAGTTGGAATTATTGAACAAATAACAATAGCATGATTTGTACGTGATATTTGGCAGAAATACCACTCATGCTGTTTTAAAATTGTCTCAAATTTTCTTCGCCTAACGGCTCGCGAAATTACGCATGACAATTTCGAAATATCACTCGTGGTATTTATACCAAATATCTACTACGACTCACCTATACTAATTCTGCTATTGCTGGTTTTCTCTGTCACGTCATCAAAAATAAAAATCAAAACCGTTCAACAGATAAAAAATGAAAGGAAGTAAATGTGAAAAGACCCTCGCCAAGATTTAGGACAGTGCAATTTCTCATATGCGGGATATTTGGAGAAATGATGTACCCAAATTTAAAGAGCATTGTATGGAGACGCCACGTTGGTGCCCATCCGGAAGGAATTCAACAGAAACGTCTGTCCCCTGGTCTGTCACTGATTTTTTGCTACGAAATCTTGAATTCATCTCTCGAAGAACTCATAAACATTAAAGTAATACTTTTTTTTACTGTTAAGATAGAAAAATTCCCTCAAATAATTCACTTTTTAACCTACATGGCAGCTCTCTCAGCCGTCACGTGAATACCGTAAGAATTAGCCTGTTCCAGGCGTTCATATAGTGGGAAGCGGTGCGAAGTAAAAAGGAGCGCGAAAAAATAAAAACGAGGGAGGGGGAGTGGGGAGAGAGGGCACCGCTTTCCCCAGTTCCCCCTCTACTTTTCATCTCTTTTTTTACTTCGCACCGCTCCCCACTATCTGAACGCCTGGAACAGGCTAGGTGATCTCAAAACTGGTTGCAAATCGCTTACGGGAGGGGTAGCTTACGAGAGCTGTCAATACTAAGATTCTCGCATTCTTTTATGGACACTATTACAGTCGAACCTCCACTAACGGCCACCTCTCTACAACGACCCCTTTACTGTGTCCCCGCGGACAGTCCATACAGTGACTCAAACCTCTATACAACGCCCAGCTCTACTCAACGGCAAGAGCCACTATAGCGTGTCTCCAACTGCCGAAATAACATCTCGACAACCGCCAGTTTTTACAGCGACTGATGAGAAAGTCAAGAATGGTCATCAAATTGATCCGTAAGGCGCGTTGATTATTTTGATTTTGTTTTACTTTATACACTGCTGCAGTAAACATAAATTGTCTACGATACTTAAAGCAAATGTTGCGAACCTTTCTCGTTTTGACACGTTAATATTTTGATTCAAAACATAATTCAAGCATTTTGCCCATTTTATCTGTATCTATTATTTATGATTGCGGGATTATTACCATTACGGGACTGAAGGTAACAAGCATGAATTTAGCACAATAAACATGTTGTACCCTACCGTAATTCCAGTTCGTGTCGTACAATTCAATGGAAGTCGGGCCCGCAATTTAAAATTGACCTTGCGGAAATTTGAAATTACTCGCCCGATAACTCCCTAAATTGTACTCAACTCAGTCCAATTTGCATTACTAAGAGTGATAATAATAGCAAAATAAAAGCTTAGTCGTGCAAGTCAGTTTCCGTAGTCTCTGTTGTATTTTGCAAGCAACAATTTTCTATTTCGCCACTTTTACTTTAAGGCCACATTTGGTAGGTTGGAACATTTTGTTAATCATCATCCAAATGATCATGACAAATTAATAGTTATTAAGTTCTTGGGGCAAACTCGATATGAGAACCAATTTAGAAGTTGCCCAACGATCGCTTAGGCATCTTTTATGAAATAGGAGCCTTGGGGCAAGTGACAATGGGACAATCCTTACACTGTTCCTTCGTACTGTTTTTGTCTAGAGCCGAGAAATATGACCGCAAGTAAAATAGGTAATGACGTCATGACGTTGCTCTTACAACTCCGAATTTAATATAACACTGGAAATAAGAATTTTCTCTATCTAATGAAGCTGTACTGACCGTTTTCTGAAATCGTTTTGAATGGTGACGTAGTGTCACTTTATGTTCAAACTTTAACGGTTTAGTTGAGCCACCTTTTGTTACTTGCACGACGAGTGGTTTTAAAAACCGACACTAGGCGATTATTTCTAAAAGTATACACCACTGACCACAAGTGACCACCAGTGAGAATACATCAAATATTTTTCTGACGTCATAATCACGTGATTATTAAACCCCTTTATCATTCTATTTACCACTATTTAAACGCAAATAAACTATTTCCAGCTACTAAAATATGTAAACAGGAGCCCTGACGTAAATATTTTTCTCTTTTTTTGTCAAAAGGGCGGGTCCCCGATAGCTTGTCAGGGGGAATAGGGACGCTGTAATATCCTCTCCCCCGTACCCTTTATTCCTGTTTCCAACCCTTTAATGTTAACATTGCCTCTCTGCGCTTTTGTCAAAATATTGGGTAATGTTTTCTAATAATTGAGAATCATGCGCTTTCCGCTTCCTGATTTTTTTTTGGCCCTCCAGACCAGCTTTCTTGTTTTCAGGATACGGGTCGATTTCTTTACTAGCTATTCGGTACCTGAAATATCTAAAGAAATAAAATGAAAGTTAAATTACGAGCGAAAACCAAAGACTGAAACAATATTATTGATCAAAAACCATAAAAGTTTCTAAAACAAACCTCTCTGTTTATAAGCCCCTTCGAATAGAAACCCCCGACTAAAATTTAAAAGCAGAAAAGCTTCCAGTAATAGGCCCCTTCCGTATAAATTAAACGCCGTTAAAAGAAGGCTTTGAAAAATATCAGTCCAAAATATGTGAGAATGTTACAGTATTTCTCTGAAAATGCGAAATTAAATGTTTGTTTATAAATGTAATACTTGATTACCCTGTTCCTGTGGAAACTAATTTATTGAAAGTTAGTGAAAATTAAATTCGGGAAATAAAATTTGTATCTAAACTTCAAGTTCGCCTCCCATGATAGCGGTAGGAGTAAAACTAGTAACTAGAAATACGTAAATCGCAGGACCTCGCGTGGCACTTCGGGGGAACGGCAAGAAGTAGGAAGAAATGGAAATAAGGCAATAGGGAAGAAAATTTATATTTAAGACACTAACGCAATGTAAAGAAACAAAATGAAACTACAATAACTAAAAAAAAACTAAACGAAAAGGAAAACAAGAGAAAAAATAAAAAAAAACCAGCTTCCTCCCGGGCTCGAATTCGGGACCTTCTACGACTTCTACCCGACGGGCCGTTTCGTCACCACTACGCCACGTGGGAACTTGTACTATGGTAGAAGCGATACTATTACATTTCAAGCCTTTCCCTTGGAACTTCCGAAAGCGCACCCTGTATTAAGTTGATCGGGCCCATTAAACATGAATTCACAAATATTTTTCAGTGAAAATGACTGCTGTTTTGAAGGTAAAAAAAACCCAACTCAAACCCATTTTATTGCAATTAAAGAAGAGATGCCCAACTTAGTGGGATATTTGTGTGCACGTGCAAGTAACGTCAGGTTGTTACTATCCTTATTTTACATGTGAAGTGCTTCTCTTGCGGCTGTGTTGATGTATAAGAGCGTTTTCAAAGAGAAGAGCTAGCATAATAATGATAAAGTGACATAACAACGATATCATTATAATAGAAAAATTATATTTTGGTGAACTATCACTCGTGTTCATTCGTGGTCCTCGAATGTACTTTTAGACACAATCGTAACCACAGTTTGTGTGCATGCCGCAAAAAGAGTACAAGCCAGCGCGCCATGGTATGTATGAGCAAAGAAAATTTATAATAAAACAGTGGGGTTGTGACAGAAGACGAAACAACGTCTATTCGTCAACGAATTTAGCAACACAGGTAGACTGTTTTCTCGGCCTAAGGATTTAACCACAAGAGTAGGAACTTGTAGCAGCGAATCATTTTTAACCAAAATGACATGAAATGTCAATCAGACCATTTAACAGACGTCTTAGATTTTTTAGAGAATGAACAACCAAAGAAAACATATTCAAGTCTTTGACCATTTTTGGAATAAAACTGAATATACCACATGGAACATGTTTTTTCCGTGGTTCGAAAAAGGACAGTTACTTCAGAAAATTAAAAAAACTTCGCTTCTTATATATTGTTTGCATGACATCATTTTGAGAAACTGTTCATATCCAAGGCAACAGGCCTATTATCTAATTCTGTTAATGTTATGGCCCGAACCTATTTATGCACCTATCAATGTAAAGCCGGCGGCGGGGGGAAGGCGACGCAGGGCATGGGGTGGGGATTTGACATTTTTCAAATTTGCCGTAAAATTCCCTGCCAACGGGCAAATCATTCCAGTTGAATGCAACCAAATTTTCCCACCCCGGGCTGCACATTGCTATCAAATATCCCAAGGCAGAACCCAAGAAAGGCACAATGAAAATATCTCCAAATAAAATTCTGCAATATTTATTTATAAACGTTGCTGCATCACCAAAGATACATGTTCCTGTTATAGCAGCAATTATAAGTTTTAACCATACCCCGTGTTGCACTGCGTAGAATACAGAAACCTTTCAGGAGGAAGTGCACATTTTGTAAGTTTAAATATACCATTCTTAGTAAAGGGTACAAAGAAAGTCAGTTTTACAAGGTTTATACAGTGATTGTAGTGAATGAGCCACACATTGATCAATTGTACTTGCAAGAATCGACTTGGTTTCTCTTTACTTCCGTTTACTTTGATAACAGAGTATCTTAAGAGGTTCAATTGATCAAAAACACGCTAAAACAAACGAAATTTGAAGACAACACAGTGAAGTGAAATCCACTCAGCTTTCGCTTGTTCCCGTTGGCCTCCATGATTTCCAGATCTTTCCAGACCGTACGGCGCATGCGTGAAGCGTGGAAGCGGGAAACATGTTCGGTCTCAGTCTTTTTCGTCCGAGTCGGCAGTCAAATATCTCCACGTCGGGGAGAACAATATCAATCAAATGCCCTATCCCAGGGCAAACAAAGACAATCAAATTCCCACCGAATGCCATGCCACCCCCCGCCCCCCTTGCCGGCATGACATTGATAGGTGCATTACATGCGCGTTGGTTTTTTTTTTAATCGCGTTTTTCGGCAGGAACGATTTAAACGATTTCTATGGCTTTTGGCATCCTTAATAACGAATGGTGCAACTTTAAGAAAATGTTATTTATTTACTTGCAGGTGTAAAAACGTTCCATATCGGCAGATGTTTAAAACCGCATTTTTACGAAAAAAAAATGTCAATAACTTGGAAGCTCTACGTCAGATTTTTTCTAATTTTAGCAAATAAGCCTCAGAACTCTCTTGTTTTATATCTGCAAGTTTGAAGTCAATCGTGACCGTAGAACTCGCCGCACTAAATGCTGGTCAGGTTTAACCGTAAAATGTAACGCTAACGCAAAACGCATTTGTGAAAGTTGACGCACAAATAGAGGACGAGTGTCAAGACTGTCAACGGACTATCTCCATCCGCAAGGGTCATTCTTGCCCAACGCTTTACTGCAAGAAACTGAGTAATCAGAAACCCACGGCCAATACAGTTCGCAATACAAGAAAAACAACTTTATGCTAACTGCGGGCAAGATTATAGAACTTCCATTCATCAAACTTACTTTGTATTTGTCCCTCTCTTTTCGAAACCAATCCTAACAAGCAAAATATAGCATCTACGAAAAACTCTCAACAGTTTTTAGCGTCTCAGGTTTCCGTTTTGAGGAGAAATAAAGCCAAAAACTCCAGTATTTCCAAACATCCATTTTTCAGCTGCAGTGAAAGCCCTTCTACTTGACAATTATTCAAGCTTTTAGACTTGTTGTCACATTTCCACCAGACGTTTGCCACTTGGGGATAAAAACGAAGAAAAATATGACAATCGTCTTCTTCTTCATATCCCCAATGGCAGACTGCCCGTGCGAATGTGATGACAAATCTAACTTCCACAAATGTGTTAGCGTAGCATTTTCCGGTTAAATTTGACCTGTCCAGCATTTTGTGCAGTGAGTTCTACGGTCACGACTGACTTCAAACTTGCAGTTATAAAACTAGTGAGAGCTCTGATGCTTATTTACTGAAGTTGGACAAAAATGATTTAAATCTGTCGTAGGATTTCGAAGTTATTAACATTTTTTGTAAAAATGCGGTTTTAAGCATATGCCGATATCACGAGCTTTTTTATACCTACAAGAATATATTAAATAACATTATCTTAAAGTTGCACCATTCGTTATTAAGGATGCCAAAAATCATAAAAATCGCTTAAATCGTTCCTGCCGAAAAACGCGATTCAAAAACCTAACCAAAGCGCACATAAATAGGTCCACCTTAAATGATTTAGTTGGGTGGCTAGAACTGATCAAGCGATTTATGAAACCATTTTTTCGGTGAGAATTTTCGGCTCTTTGAAATGATAATTTAGTTTCGGGAGAACTCACTAAAAACCAGCTGACATTCCGGGGGTACAGTCCATGTCAAGAGCATTCCCTCTTTGTTCATGTTTCTTTGTTACGCTACCGCAATCCTTCTAATCATTTTTACCTAATCACATATTAATTCTTTTCTCTGCTATTAAAAGTTACTCAAAACTAAGCTGTTATTCTGAGTGTTTTTCCCTGAGTTTTTCCAGACTGTTACGCTTCCGCACTTCTTGCGCATTAATAAACACATTTTAACGCTTTGTCTAGTAAAGGCACTTGAAGAACTTGAAACTAAGTGACAGACAGATACAAAATTTTAAATTTTCGACAAGTTTAGTAATTACTTTTGAGGAAGTTCATTATACTGTTAGTGTTAATGGATTTTCAAGAGCAAAAGTGTAATGCAAATAAACAGTTGATTACAATTGCAAGTTATAAATGCTCTATACTCGGGTCTACACGCAGTAAAGTTTCAACCTCTCTCCTCACAATCCAGACCATGCAAAGGTAAGGGGATTATTGCGCCGAATCTTGTCTCCCTATTTCTACTGATCAACTCCCGTATATTAACGAAACCAGGGGCCGAAAGTAGTGGTTTATATTTTCAATCATACATCCACAACAAGACCCTCAACAGAACCTCATTTTAGATTAACCGTCCCTCGTATAAAAGTCACACAGAAATTGCATTTCAATTAGGGTAGATCATCCAAAATGAATTGAAAGCCAGTCTCTTAAAAAATGTTCATTAATATACAATTATCTTAGTTAGGAAATTGCAATTCGCGGGAAAATAAAACCATAAAAATCCAAGCTTTTCACTCATGATATCATAGGTGACCATAGGCAAACTCATTAAAGTACAATGAATTTATCTTTTTTCAGCTGTTCTTTAAACAAGACGTACTGTCACTAGATTGAAATAATCCATGTTGTTGCAAAGTGCGAGAAAGAGAGACCTACTGAACGAAGAATAAATTGTTGCCCTACATTTTATCTGGAGGTTTTTCCAAGAAGCTAAATGAATTTGCCCATGAAAGAATTCTACTGCGTTACCTCGGTTCTGTTCAAAGCGAAAGAGATATGACTTTGCAAGCAAGATGTAGAGTTCAAAATGACCATTAGTTTACATGAAAGAATTAAAAAAAATATGAGCTTGACCAGTTTGTAGTACAGTCGAATCCCGATAACTCGAACCTTCAAGGGAAATAGAAAACAGTTCGAGTTATCGATGGTAAAATTATATAGAAAACGATCTGAAGGGAAATGAAAATTGCTTCGAGTTAGCGGGAGGTTCGACTTATAGAGGGTTCGAGTGTAATCGCTGACAACAGTTAAATCAATAGGGACCCGTTACAAATTGTCTCAAAGATATTACTTTTGTATATTGCTATTTTTCTCAGGTAACACAATAAATTGGTCTCCTCCCGTAAGCAGACAATTTACTGATAACTTAATTGTACTTTCTATTAAAGCTAGGTTTATCATTTCCTCTTCTTTAGCTTGAAGATATTCTTTTCGCTGTTAAGGGCAAGTTCTAGCCGGCAAGGATAACATGTCTTCTCAAGTCAACACCACAGTGTGTGGACTACCCCTTTGGGTTCCAGTCCCTACAAACGATTCCATCTCTTACGTCAGTGATGCTGTGGCATTAGCAGTTAACATCCCAATGAGTATCTTTACCTTCCTTAGCAATCTCGCTGTCATCGTCATAATCACCAAAACTATTCACCCTCAAACACCAAGCAATATCTTGCTCTGTAACCTGGCCGCCACTGATTGCTTGCAAGGCTTGACGTCACAACCACTGTTTTATATCTGGCGTTTGATATTGCATCGCGCTCGTCAATCATGTGATTATCAGACCGAATTGTTTAATGCCAGCTATGTGTTAAACACCATCACTTCAGGCTGGTCCTTTGCTACACTAACGCTTATCAGCTTCGATCGAGCGCTGGCATTATCCAAGCCGCTGTTTTATCGTGCTAATGTAACTAATAAAGGTAAAGTGATAAGGATCAATAAATCTGAAAAAAAAATTCTGAAAATTATGTTGACTGATCAAAGAATTAGACCTATTTAGACGCGTCACCTTTTACTTCATGTAATGGGATGGTTGGTTCTGATTGGCGGAGATTGTATTCCTTCAATAGGAGGCATAAGAGGGACACATTATTATCATGACAAACAACGCAGCAAGACCGACACTACCCCCTAAAAATTACCTCGGCAGGGCAATAGCAGGATACTGATAGTCCTTAAAACAGCGGGATGTTGAGATTGGACAGCTGTTTCCTCCTTTTTTTGATCCCGTCAGTGCGGCGTAAAAATCAAATTCCCCTTATGAAGTTCCCCCTTGTAAAAGTCCATAACAATGTTATCTCTATTTGACTTGTTATAACCTCTATTATTTCGTTTGTTTCAAGGTAGATTGATACTATTTTTTTTCTTTCTTTCAGTTGCGTTTAAAACTGCTTCCTTGACGGGGGTAGTCTGGCTGCTGATCATAATTTTCATCCACTTCGTCCTACCTGATAAGCCGTCGTTCATTCTCCAAAACATTTTTGGAATGCTGTTTATCATTCTCCCCATCATGTGTCACATTAAGATATATTTTGCTATCCGACGCCAAAACAAGCAAGTGCAAGACGCAATGGAAGACCACCAGCAGCTGAGTATAATATTTAAGAGAGAAAAAAAAGTGGCTGTGGATATGTTTATTGTTATTATTGCACTTTTGATTTGCCTCGGTCCTGTGATGGTGATGCACGTTATTTTCCGACCATTTCTTCCTCAGCTGTTTAACCTTTTTTATACTTGGGTCTTTACACCGGTGTACCTTAACTCTTGTATAAATCCTGTTCTGTATGTTATCAGAAAAAAAGAACTTAGAAGAGCGTTCAGTATTTGTGTTCAATGAACACGCCACTTTGTCTTTTGTAAGAAACTGTGTTTCATTAAGCTAAAAAAAAACATTGTGTAAATCATAGTCTTCGCTATCAGTTATAAGCATACATTTTCTTGGAAAACAAAGATATGTGAAACAATTTAGACAGCTTGGGCATTCTATTTGACGGAGCAAGCGTGAAGATAGTGGCCATGGTGCTTCTCTCCTTCAGTTCTTCTAACTTGTATTGAACACCATGGAAACAACTAAATTTTATGTACATATCTAAGAAAATGCATTCACCCCATGAACGTAACCTTGATTAAAAACTAAATTTAATGGGGGTTTGACTGATTTGACAGCTGAGTATTCTAAATCTCGCTAAAGTGAGAATTCCACTTAGTATACGTACACCCCGTCACGTGTCCCACCAAACGTCTTGAAATCCTTGACGTAATAAATTAGTGCAAGAGAGGATTGAACTGACTCAGTTAAACCACGCATAACCCCACAGACCGCGAGTTTGACGAGTAATGAGTATTTTTGCAGAATTTCCTTTTTGTAACAGACATGCCGTGGTGATTCCATTAGAGAGAAATTTCGTAGAGAGAAATTTCGAGAACTCGCCCGCGAGGTTAAAATACTATTCAACTCTATTGCCGCTATATAGTTTTCGTTATGATTCATTTTTATGAGGATTCATGATCTAAGTATGTTAATGCATCCGATTATAAATTTCACCCTTTCAATTCATTTAAACACAAAACTATTTAACAATGGTATTGTTCAAGCAAGTTTGGCTTTACGCATTGAGTATTGAATATTCATTAAAATGCAGCCGTTTTCAATTGGCTGGACCAAGACACCAACCCTTATCTGATTTGTTAACAACTCCTCCAGTTTCTTTTTGTCTATAAATCTACGCCACCATCTCATCATCATTATCTCTTTGTTGTTGTTGGTATTGTTTATATTAGTCAACGTTCCATCTTTATTGTATACATGTAGTAGCGAGCCGATACCTCCTCAATGTTAGAGGGCGTTTTCACATGACGTCACGGTGGCCATATTGGTGTTCCAAAACAATAAAACGGCGGCCATGTTGGTGTTCCAGACCAATCCTGTGGGAGTTGAACTCTTTTCTTATGTGAACGCGTCCTTTTGCTTCAATAAATTTGCATAGATCCTTGTCACGTGAGTGAAAACGCTCTATAAAGGAAAACTATAATACTCACTAAAAGCCATATGGGGTTGGTTTTTTTTCCGGCACCACTTGACAAGTGGCCCAGTGTTTCGGCAACTTCCTTCCTTTTTATGATCGAGTCTTAGTTTCCCAGATTAACCGGGTAACTTTTAAGGTGCGCCAAAGTTGGGAAAGTATTATACACTCTGAGATAAACATGTTAAAGGCGACGTACATTTGACTCACTCGTGAGGGCAAAACCACAGCAACAAACCAGTGAGGGTCAGCTGGATCTTTAGTAGACCTAGATCAGTAAAATCTTCAAATTATACTAAATTATAAAAAAAGTAAACTCATCCTCATGGCAAGAAGAGTAAGCGAAAAAATAAAGAAGGAAAACAACAATAACTGGTGAATTATGTTTGTCCGATATATCGGTTGGCAACACAAACCTTCAACGGGAGCTACAAATATTAAAAAAAAATCAAAATAATTACACAATGTGATATTTGAATACATAGCCTACTAAACTAGGGTATCTAAAAGATAGTAATGCTGCGGCACATTCTGTTGATACTGGCAACAAAATGACATTGAATGTCCTTTTTACAAGTTGGAAAGTACTAGAATAATTACTATCATTCTATAGAAAGAACTCGTGGGAACGTTGTTTAGAAAATGATCAAGTGGTTATCAACTCTGGTTTTCCCACAGCAAACTGTAGGAAATAATAGAAATTCAGATCGTTTATCTATATATTTAATATACGGTGCACGATATTTTGTCTGGAAACTCAATACTTTTCTTGCTGTTTATTGCACTTTATTAAGTAACAGTTATTTACCTATATATCTATAGAAAACAAGAACACAAAAAAAGGGAAAAAAAAAGAAAGAAGGAACAAATAATTCAGTAGGACTCGAAACCCGGCACCTTCGCCTCGCCGCGACTACTCCTAACCACTACACCACAGAGACTGATTACGTAATCATTAGGAAAAGTCTTTCATTTTATTCCTTTTCCATGAAACTTCCGCCAGCAAGATGATTGCTAGCCGCATTAACCGAGCTATTAACAGTGAAAAAACAATGTAAACGCATATTCCATGGCAAAAAATGTATGAAAGAACATAATTATGCTTTTCAAAACGCCGATACACGTCCTCGTCGGCAAAGTAGGACACAAAACATATGTTTGTTACCTCGATTTCCGCTGTTATTTTGAAGCGAATGGTCAAAATCACATCCATTTTTGGCTCATACAGTTTCTTAAGAATAGCATTGCATGACATTTTCTCATCACATTTCTTTCACATCACCTTCTAGCAAGCTGGAATTTGTATATCCCCCGTGTTGCGGAGTCGAAGAGCAAATGCTCATTTTCTCGTCAGGTTTAACACCTGGACGAGTCAAAAAGGCTCTTGAATTGAAATCCAATCCCCAAGTTAACCATCGTACTCATCTGAACGACTCCTGCGTGTCTTAAAATTTGTTAAGACCTCTAACCGTGCTGTAGAAAATTTGCCACAAAGAAAACTCTAAGTCTGAGCAGCGAACGATGCACTCTCTCACCCACCGAACTTACCCGTGTTTATATTTGAGTTGTTCGTTGCGCAATGCACTCTGATTAAATGCAATGCATTGTGGTAAAAAGTGTGGTTAAATGCAATGCATTGTGGTAAAAAGTGATGAATTCGAGAATTCGTCGCCCCTTATATATTTCCTTTAAATCCTGATTATGTTGCTGCTCGCTCTCTTCGGTCGCTCCGCAGCAAAAAGATAAATATCACTAATTAAATTGATCACAGCTATTTATACCACGGGGTTATATTGTCCGGCATCCGATGTCTGATGTGCAATGTCTTTTTCCTGATGTCCGATGCTCGATGTGTGATTTCCGATGTCCGCTGTCTGACTTCCACTCTCTAATATCTGATGTCCGAAAAGTGATGTATGATATCCGATGTCCGATTTCTGATGTATGATATCGGCGATTTTTGATACACGATGTCTCATGTCCGATGTTTGACTATGTGCATGTTTGCTATCCGATGTGTGATGTATGATGTTCGGTGTCTTATGTCCGGATGTGCGATGTCTGATGTCCGCTCTGTGATGCCTGAATTCCGCTGTCTGATGCCCTTCGTCCGGCTGATGTCTGATGTCCGATGTCCGTTTGCCGTTGTTTGATGTCTTTGTATATAGTAAATTAGAACAGAATCTACCAGGGCAAGCAAAATGCGAGCCCACAGTCGTATTCTTGGTGGGGTTGTCAGCGGAACTTTATGCAAATGCATATCTATGTCACGGAAATATTCAGTGAGTCAAAGCCAACTTGTTAAAACAATATCATCGTTATAGTGCGACCACTCAAACCGAAGATCTTGAAAGATTATCCAATCACATTTTTTTGAAAACAAAACATCCTCAAGGTTTTGTTTGCAAACGGACCAGCGTGGCAGAGTGGTTTATAGAGTTCTGGAATTGTAATTCGGAAGCCCCGAATTTACGTCCCGCTCTGACCGCTAGCTAGCTAGACAACTGGTTCCCCTCCCGCCACTTGGGATTTTCTAGCCGTGTTATGTTTCATTTAATTAGGCCTTTTGTATTAATTGATCACGTGCTCAACCTTCGGTAAACACAAAAACAGTTAGCATGAGCTCAAAAGTACGTAGTGATTGCAACGGCAGAGGAAAATTAGAAGGATTTGTATAAGAGAAACAACTTTTGCCACCCTTTCATTATCCCTGAAAAGAGCTAGAAGGGGAGAGCACGATTTTAGTATTATCATTATTATTGTTATTATTATAATTATATATTATTATTGTTTTTATTATTATTACAACATTCATGAATTTGAGGGCTGTTTCCTTGGAGGTCAGGTAAGTTCAAACGGTAAGTTTTCAATGGTTGCATAGTTGAACTTTGAATTTTATTGGTCCATTTGCAAAAAAACTTGAGAATCTTTTGCTTTCAAAAAACGTTGTGAATGGATGTTCTTGCAAGCACCATTGTTCAAGTAGTCGAAGTGTAATGAATGAATGAAAGGTTGAAATGAAGTGTGGATAGTCAAAGTCAAAAGTAGTAAAGAGGGACACTTCAGAGCAGAGTCAGCAGACAAATCAGAAAGCCGAATTTCGCATATGTGACCAATTTTAGAATTGCAGAATTTTATCACATGACCTGTCAATCAAAATCCGCCAATTAGGAAGCTGGTGACGTCACCCCCGACCCACCAATCAGCGCCCGGTCCCGTAGTCAGGTAGCCGATCCCTTAGGGAATTGAGTGACATCATCGGGGTCCTCTAAGGCAGTACGGGAAGTCACGTCACCGTGACAGGAAGTGACGTGCATCGACCAGAAAAGACGTCATCGTGACTGAAAGTGTCACGCCTTTCACCGGAAAAGCCTCGTTTTCGCGCTCCCGTGCCCAGTCTTCCCCCTTGGTCCTAAAAACACACTCGTCTTCAGTCTCTCTCTTTTTTATTGTCTAACCCAACTTACAAGTGGGAACGTGTGCCCCGCCCTAGCGGCTCGGAGGGCGTCCCTTCATATTTTTCCCTCTATGTTTGAGCATTAACTGGGTGTCTTAATGACAAAGTATCATTCGTGAGTAGAACCGGGATAAAAAATGTTTCGCCTGTCTCACTAGTTGGCGACAAAGTATCGTTCGTGAGTAACCCGGGATGAGACCATGCCTCGTCTATCTTGCACGCGGGAACTTTCCCCCTTCGCGCGGGTGTCCCTCTAAAAGCGGTTCCTTATGAACAGTTACAAAAGTGCAAATTAGACAAAATCAACACTGAAATGTAATTCGCTTTGTTAGTTTTAAGAACCAGAATTGACAAATG